AAGTGCACAGCGCCAGTGGGCCAAAGGGAGCGGCGATGGAGTCCACCCACGCAAACCGACCCAGCAGCTCCACAACTGTACAAAACGAGGGACGAATTACACGGACACCCGTGTGACAAAAAAGTACATTGGGCGTCGCCCAGCATGCAGTAGATGTCACGCCCAGTGTGGCAAGAAACAGAGTGGAGGCTGGCGTGGTCTCGTTCCTACGCCAGAGGCGAAAAACGGCATAAACAAAAATTTCCGGACGTCCGCGCGGACTTCTTGCATCGGCGCTGGACCCCCCCTCCCCGGCGCGCGGAGCGCGCCAGGAGCAGCGCCGGAGACGCCGCCAGGGGGCTCCAGCGCCGATCCAAGAACTCCGCGCAGAGATCTGAAAGGTTATGTATAAGTCGGGCGTGTCCCCCTTCAGGCGGATTTTGGACGAAAAAAGAAAAAAACAAAAAAAAAAAACAAGCATTCAAATTTGGGGGGGCAAATGGAACATTCCTCCTGTAGAGCGACGTGCCCGACTTGACTCCAGCGCCGATCCAAGAACTCCGCGCGGAGCTCTGCAAGGTTACGTGCACGCATTCGTCACTGCTTCGGAACGTGCAGACGACACCTGCGGGTCAGAGCGCAATGCGGTAATCTGGCCCACCGCTGCCCAAGCCCCTCGTGCCGTCGCCGCCGAGCCGGGGCGTGAACGTGTCGCCCACAGGTCCCTGGGCGACGGCGGGCACGGGCGCGCGAGCGCGCCGGAGCCGGCTCCAACCTTCCCCCTGGATCCACTCGGGCCTCTCGAAGACGAGCTTTGCCACGCGCTGGGGCTGGCCGAGGCCCGTGGGCCATGGCTCGCCAGCCGTCGGGGCCGGGACCAGCGTCACCCTGCTCTGGATGACGAGGCGGAAACGATGATGGTGCTCGCTGAAGCGGAAACGCACCATCTCCACACTCAATGGAATCGCCTCTCCCCTGCAAGCGGATGCAGTGAACTCGTCCAGGCAGTGGCGAATCCAATACTCAAAGTCCTCTTGCTGATCTGGCTGGGTACACCCCAGGAGAGTATCCTCAACGGCGCACATATGTGCAAATGAACCACCAATGAACATCTCGAAGGCACTTGTGCATCCCAACAGGGTAAGCTTTGGTGACAAGGCGTCAAACCAAACAGCAAGCTCGGGCACGGTGGACAATTGCGAGGACTCGACTTCAGAGGTTCCGAGGCCCGACCGCTCCTCGGCACTCGAATGCAAACTGCTCTGGACACCCGACGTCAAAACCGACCTGGGCAATTCCTGCTGCTGCGCACCGCCGGGCGAAGCTGCGTCCCAGAACTCCCGCAGGCCGAGAAGGTATGACTCCCTACCCTCGCCCGAATCGAAACGCACACAGAACATCTCCACGTGCACTAAAATGCCGCGCGTGTCCCGCATGTTTACGTGGAAGGCCTTGCAAATCTTGTCGGACGAGGTACTGGAGGTCACCTCTTGAGAGAACTTCTCGCGATCGGCTTCCGTGGCAAGAATAGCTAGCATGCTCGCCCCAGTCTTGTTTCGTAGCGGGTTGATCATCAGCAGCGCAGCGAGACTCTCCGAACAGTGCGCCAGCTTCAAATCAGGACCGAGCTCCACTACGGCGTCACATATGCCTGCCAGTATAGCCCTGGCGGCCCGCAGCTCGTTCTTAGAGTGGGTGCTTTCGAGATGGAAAGCGGCCGCCTTTGAGAAAACGATGTGCACACTGACCAAGTATACACTTACAAAGATCCAGTCGAAGCCAATCATTTCCAAAGTTTGGACGAAGTCGAAGCAAAGATTGCCGTTGGAAGGCCCCACCAGCAGCGTGAGCGTGGCGCTCAGGTACAGGACGGAGGCCCAAAGAAAGTTCATCGGCATGTACAGATTCATCACGGCCAGGCCAATACAATCAAACATGATGAACAACCTGAGGTCAGGCACCGCCTCCGCGAACTGAAAGAGCGGTGAAACCTTGAGCGCAGCCGCAAACAACACAACCGAATACCAGAGGTGCACTGTCACCGGGGTAACCAGCCCTGGGAACAAGCGCAAGATCGCGCACACAATGCAAAATAGACATGCGTACAAACGTAACGGTAGGATAAGCTCACTGTTGTCTCCAACCAGTGCCTGCAATGAGAGGAAACATACCATGACCACAGAAATGACCCGAGCAAAATGCCGAGATATGTCGATCCTCATGGACTGCTTGTGTACATAAACGGGGTCCTGCGCATCACAGCCGCACAGAACGAACGTCTTCACGGCCTTCGAGAATTCGAATAAACGACCCGAGCAATCGCGCACAAATGGCAGCGCGCGCTCCTCGCGGCACAGTCGCAGGATCGGGCGCCCCAGCGTCGCGGCAGCGCAGAGCACGACGGTGACTGCCTCCACTGCACGGACGCTGCGGAACTCCAGGACCTCCATCGCAGGGGCGGGGAAAGGGCCGTCCGCTCGCGCGGAATGCGGAACACAGGCCGTCTTGAGCCAAAATGGCTACGGATATCTTCCTGGGCGTCCTTGGCAGCGCCCCTTGACGCATGGACACTTCAACAGGGGCCCAGGGACACGCAAATGAACAGACACACGAGCAGCAGGGATTCCCCGTCATTTCCTCCATCTGTTTTCGGGGTCTCCGTCTTCCCCCCTCCCCATTCCCCTATTTCCCCCGTGTGTTCCTGGGCCTCGACGACTCCTTGTGTCTGCGCGTCTCTCTCCCTCCTGGACGCCGACCGCGGCGACCGAGCGCCCTGGCTGTCGGAGCTCTGGACAGGGCAAGACACTCGCGCGCGCACGGGCGATCGGGCGCCGCGGGCCAGATATCGCCCGCCGCGCCCCCCCCCCCCCAGACGGGCCGCATGGCGCCCCGTTCGCCGCCGGCCCATCCTCCTCCTCCGCAGGAGGAGGAGGAGAGAGGAGGAGGAGGAGGAGGAGGAGGAGGAGGAGGAGGAGGAGGAGGAGGAGGGTGAGAGGAGGAGGAGGAAGAGGCAGGAGGCGGAGGCGGAGGAGGAGGAGGAGGAGGAGGAGGCGGAGGAGGCGGGAGGAGGAGGAGGTGGAGGCGGGAGGAGGAGGAGGAGGAGGAGGGGGGGGGGAGGTGGAGGAGGAGGAGGAGGAGGAGGAGGAGGAGGAGGAGGAGGAGGAGGAGGAGGAGGAGGAGGAGGAGGTCCCCGCGACAGCGCCCCCCCCCCGCCCCGCCCCCTTGTCGGGGGAAGCGCGGGCAGACGGACGTGGCCATCTTCTGGCGGCCCTGTGCCCCAACTAGAGGGCAGAAAATCCACCCCGATAAGAACCACCCCGACGCGCGAGGTCTTCAGTAAACGCGCCCAACAAAGGAATCGAACAGGGCAGGGCTGTTTCGTAAACGCCCAGGGCCGTTTAGTAAACGCCAGTTGTCCTGCCCGGGTGTTTTTTCCTCCCTGGATCAGCAACTGCTGCTGACTGTGCCCCTAGTCCGAGCCACCTCCCGCACTCGACGAGTGCGACGGATGGAAGGCAGCCGCGCTGCGCGCGCGGCGGCACTGGCTCCTGGGCCATCGCTTCCCCGGCAGGCACGCAGCCCGCTCCTCAGGAGCGGTTCCCCCCTGCAGCGGTGGCCGCCCTGGTGCACGCCTCGGTCGGGGCGTTGCCTCGCGCCGCAAGCGACGAGCGGCCCGTCGCGCCCCCTCTCGGGGGAAGTGGGGCGGCGGGTTCTGGCCGCGGGCCATCTTCTGGAGGCAGGAGAGGGGCATGGCATCGAGGGGCGTGGGGCTGCTTTTGTGCACAGGGGGCCCTGGCGCTGCTGCTGATCGCAGATGGCAGCGCCATGTCCACGATTGGCACCGTACCCCTTTACGCCACACCCCTTTCCGACCTCCAGACGTCCGAGAGAGCACGCCGCGCGCAACCTCGGCGGGAACCGGGCGGCCTCTCCTGGCCCTCGCTGGGGGCTCGTCGGATCCGGGAGCGGGCTCGCTGGCCTTCCCGAGGGCCGATCGGAGGTCGTCGTCGAACGAAGGGGCGGGGAGAGGCGTGTTATCCATGCTCGGCGCATACACGTCGTTCATTCCTAACCGTGCTCATTTCAAATTGTGCTCGTTTCTAATTGTTCCTGGCCCCCTAGTGGCCAGGAAGAGGCCCAGGATAGAACATTTAGAAATGAAAGGATCTTGGCCCCAGAAAAATTTAAGAATTTTCGAATAATTAGATATGAACGGTGTGTACGTCTGCCGATCCAAAAATATGGCCATCAAACAGATCCCCCTGCGCGGCGGCGAACGTGGGCTCGGGCTGTCGGAACGCCGGTCATGGCCGTTAGGTCTCTCGTGATCGCGCGCTCCGACTCGGACTCGCCCAGGGCCTGGCCATGTCCAACGCCGGAGAGAGCTGGCCTCTGTTACATAGGATTCAAGAGGAGGGCCCACTTGATCATCGCATCAGCGTAGCGCTAGTGTAACCTCCCTCTCTCTGTCTCTCTCTGTCTGTCTGTCTGTCTGTCTGTCTGTCTGGCTGGCTGGCTGGCTGGCTGGCTGGCTGGCTGGCTGGCTGGCTGGCTGGCTGGCTGGCTGGCTGGCTGTCTGTCTGTCTGTCTGTCTGTCTGTCTGTCTGTCTGTCTGTCTGTCTGTCTGTCTGTCTGTCTGTCTGTCTGTCTGTCTGTCTGTCTGTCTGTCTCTCTTTTTCTCTCTCTCTCTCTCGCTCTTTCTCTCTCTCTCTCTCCTCTCCCTCTCTTTCTTTCTTTTTTTTTTTCTCTCTCTCTCTCTCTCTCTCTCTCTCTCCTCTATAAATCCCGGCCACCTCGCGCTCAAGTAGAACAGTTCGTTCGCCGTGAACTCTCGAGTGAACTTGATCGGGGCGGCACGGTTCAAATGGCATGCCCCTGATACCCAGCTCGCTCCGATGGCTGCGTTCTCGATCAGCCCCCTCGAGGGCCTGTCGCCAGACAGCCCTGGCGACCAAGTTGCGCGACAGCAGCTGGGCCTGCTTGCCAATAGGAGGAGGAGGTGGAAAAGGAGGAGAGGGAGGAGGAGGAGGAGGAGGAGGAGGTGGAGGAGGAGGAGAAGGAGGAGAAGGAGGAGGAGGAGGAGGAGGAGGATGAGGAGGGGGAGGAGGAGGAGGAGGAGGAAGAGGAGGAGGAGAGGCAGGGGGGGCTCGGCCGCGTGCGGCAGCTCTCGCGGTTTTGACGTGTGCTCTGGCAGGGCCAAGGGCTCAACGCCAAGAAGGGCGACGAGGGTACGGATTGCCCCGCCCGCGGTGCGTGGGAACTCTCTCGCTCTGGACAGGGAGACTGCTGCTCAACTTCTCCCTCCACCTCTCCTCCTCCTCCTCCTTCATCTACACCCCTTCCTCCCGCTTGCCTTCCGTCGTCGTCGTCGTGCAGGTCGTCGTCGTCGTCGTCGTCGTCGCCTTCGACGTCGTCGTCGTCGTCGTCGTCGTCGTCGTCGTCGTCGTCGTCCTCGTCACCTTCGACGTCGTCGTCGTCGTCGTCGTCGTCGTCGGCGGTGGCGGCGGCGGCGTCGTCGCGGTGGTCGTCGTGGTGGTCATCGTTGTCGCGGTCGTCGCGGGAGCGGACGGGCGCGGCGCGAGCCTTGGGCCCCCAGCCGTAGCCGCAGCCTGCCGCGGCCCGCGGGCGGGCAAGGAGGGGGAGAAGAGGGCGAGGCAGGTCTCCTTCTCCCCCTTTCTCCTCCTCCTCCCTCTCGTCCTCCTCGTCCTCCTCGTCCTCCTCGTCCTCCTCCTCCTCCTCCTCCTCCTCCTCCTCCTCCTCCTCCTCCTCCTCCTCCTCCTCCCCTCCCCGCGGGCGGGCAGGGAGGGGGAGGAAGAGGGCGAGGCAGGTCTCCTTCTCCCCCTTCTCCTCCTCCTGAGCAACGCCCTGCGAACACACAATACTTGCATCACCTAGTTGGCCTCACATGGATTCCTCAGCAGAGACTGCACCGCCTAGATAACACCACACATGGTGCACTACAGATGTTGCACAACAGATGCAGACTGCATGACAGTGGTTGCACAGCATACGTTGCACAGAATTGGTTGCACCACATCATAGGTTACACTACATACGTTGTGCACCACAGATATTACACCACAAAGGCTGCACCACGTCATTTGCACACTATACATTGCTGCATCACCTAGGTTACTCCACCACTATTGCACCATAGTAGACTGCACAGCATCGAGCGCACCACTGCACGACGTAGATTGCGCAGCATAGATTGCACCACATCGATAGCATCACACATCTTGCACAGCATAGGTTGCACCACATAGAGCACCACATGCATTGCATCACAGATATTGCTCATCGTAAAATCCACAACATCGATTGCACATCATATATTGCACCAAATATATTGGGCAATGACAGCGAACATTCCATGACGAATCCTCACTAGGGCTCCTTGTTTTTGCAAGCACACACAGAAACATGATTTGCGAAAGGGTCTGCATTGAGGATTCTCCCAGAAGGCCATGGGGCGCGCACTGTTTCTCTTTTTTTCTTTATCTCTCTATCTCTCTCTCTCTCTCTCGCTTTATCGCCTTCTGCTTAAAAAAATGAAAACTGAAACGGCCCAGGCCTTTTACACGGTCTGACGCCAGAGGGGAAAGAGGTGGAGTGCCTGCCACGCCTGAGCAGCTGGGCGCGCGAGGCCAGCACGGTGGGCCCATAGGTGGGCGCTGTAGCGGCGGTCCTCCTGCTCCTCCTCCTCCTCCTTCCCCTCCTCCTTCTCGTCCTCCTCCTCCTCCTCGTCCTCGTCGTCCTCTTCCTCGTCCTCCTCCTCCTCCTCCTCCTCCTCCTCCTCCTCCTCCTCGGAAGCACGAGTCGCCAGCATGTGGTATTGAGAGAGTTTCCCCGTCGTCATAGCTACGGCCGAACCCAATGCGGTGGAGCGGGTCCCAGTGGAGGAAGCTTCTCGCCAAGGCCATCTACTGCCACGTACGGCGACAAGAGGTGTCGTGCGCGATGTCGCCCATACGATGGCCGCACTTCCACAGGCAGGAGTAGTCGGTGGGGTATACGCGCATGTGCCAGGAGATTTGCCAGCCGCCCACCGCCGCGGAGGGGAAGAATGAAGAGGAGCAAGAAAGAGGCTGATGACGGCGACGAAGAAAACGACAGAGACGCGGAAAGGACAAAGGCGACAACGGCGACAAGAACGAAGACGGAAACAAAGACGTGGACGAACGGCCGCGGCGACGACGACGACAATAACGAAGACGAAACCGAAAACGGAGACGACGATAAACGCCAACGCCGACACCGACGCCGACGCCGACGCCGACGCCGACACCGACGCCGAGGCCGACGCCGACGCCGACGACGCCGACGCCGACGCCGACGCCGACGCCGACGCCGACGCCGACGCCGACGCCGACGCCGACGCCGACGCCGACGCCGACGACGACGACGACGACGACGACGACGACGACGACGACGACGACGACGACGACGACGACCACAACCACCACCACCACCACCACGACCACGACCTCGACCACGACCACGACCAGACCTCCTCGCGTC